GGCTGGTGGCTTCTACTGCAGAAATGGCTTCAGAAGCAGAGCCAATAGAACTTGAAGAAAGCGGTAAGCTTTGGTCTTAACTCAGTAAGAGCATAAACTGCTTCTGGAGACTTGGGTCCCACTTGCCATGTATTTTTGCCCATTTTTAGTCCCTTTACTGGGGAGGAAGGGAAACTTCTGATTTTAGAAGGCCTCTAGAATGGCATCTATAAACAACAAGCCTACCAACCACTGTTTTAGTCTGTTACTGAGGTGCCACACATTGACCCCTAGTGAGAGATGAGTTGTGCAAGAAGGGTACTCAAATGGTGCTCAACCCTCTGAATGTCTGTTCTGATGAGGTGGGAGTCACTGCAGACAGTGGCAAACTAAGGCTGGGAACTCCCCAGTTTTAAGAAGAGAATTAAAAGTTTGTCATTAGCCGTGCATCGTCCCTCAAGGGAACGTTTACAGCATGGTACTGTAAAATCATTATATCCTACATGAGTCATGTTTTCTTCTGTGTGATAAACATTCTCCTGTGTTGGATGAATAACCTCTTGCTGTGTCCGTCCCGCAAGCTGTTGTCATACAGCAGCACTGTATGAGGAGCTCTGTTCCTCTTGCATTGCAGCTTGCAGAAGATAGTGGTGTTGATGTTCTCTGTGAACTGTTGAGGGCAAAGCTTGAGTGAAAAGTTGGATATGTTCCTGAAGAGAGGAGGGATAGGGCAAGGCTGGATCATACCTCATTCTGTTAGGTGCTGGCAGGCAGTTTATTCCCCTGCAGTCTCTGATGCTGATTCTAATGTTGTGTTTTTAAGCTGGTGAAGAAGTAGTAGATCTTACATGTGAATCTTCTGATCCTGTAGTCGTCGATCTAACTCACAATGATTCTGTTGTGGTAAGTAAGCAGTGAATAGCACACTCACCTAAACCTTGTGTTCAAGCTGGTTTTGTATGGTGCTTCCTGATAGAATCTGGCTCCAAGGATAAGCTGTAAATTCAGAGCTGACTTGTGAGTGCATGAAAGCCACGTGTTACAGGTCATCACCAAAGCTGCTCTGGAGGTGCACTTGCAGATATTTAGGGGATAATCTAGAACACAATGTTGCTCCGGAACTCTGGGAGAATACAGACCAGTCCTGGGGAATGTAACATAAGGAGGTGCAATTTAAAGTTGAAGCCATTCTAGATGGAGCAAAGGCATAGGCCAATGATTTAACTAAAAAATGAAGGAGATAACAGTCTTTGCCTTCACAGACATGAAGTGTTTAACTGCACCATCAGTTTAAAGTTCTCCTGTCTCAGAGATTTTAACGTTCTTAATAAAAGACTAGGGCTGCACACCAAAGTCTAATTGTATTTTTCTTTTCTCTCCCTGCCCATATGTACTGATGCAAGATCGTTGAAGGTGAGTTGACGTTTTAAAATTTATAATGGAATTTCCCTTTTTTTTTCTTTTGCAACAAACTTGATCAGCGTGGATTGAAACTGCATTTACCAAAAGGCAAAAGACAGTGCTAACGTGTCTGCCCAGTGTCTTAGAGAATGGATCCAGTCTGGGTGGTATAGTCGCTATCAGAGCTTGTAGATTTGAAATAACATACATCAAAGCTGCTCACAGTATGTTTTCTTCTTTTCCAAATAGAGATGCTCTGTAAGACCAACATTGATAAGAATTTTAATGGGGACCAGGATATCTGCTTTGAATAAGAAAATGTCAAAAAGCTTTTTTATCCTGTATTGCCCTGAAGGAACTGTAAGAGGAAAGTTATTTGTGGTCGTGGTATTGATTTTCATTATCTAGTCTAACGTGCTTCAAATTTAGTACAGACAATGACTAACAAATGTGGATTTTTCCTACTTTAGGTGTTACAACAGTTATAGGTATAAAGAAGTTAATCCTTTTCACCTTCCAGACCTTGTTCTGATGATGGTATCTGAGATGTATTAGTATGTTGTTAGCTGCTTACTGGGAATGTAATCTGGTCTGTGCTCTTAGAGAATCACAGAATGTTGGGGATTGGAAGAGACCTTGAAAGCAAGTTCAAAAATACTTGCACTAAAAGTTGTAGCTGAAGACTTATGCAGGAAGGAACTTGAATTTCGTGGCTATTCATGTAATGTTAATTGATTAGTGCTTGTATTGTTACATGAACACTGGAGCTGCAGAGATAATTATTGCATGTGATTTCTAATTGTTACAAAGCAAAGAGCAGTTCTTTAACCTTTGGATGTTACAGACAAGGCAGTCAAGATTTTTAACTCCTTCTATCTTGAGCACTATGTCTTCATTTTCAAGTTACCTTTACTTAGGCAGAAGATGATGCAAATTTCTAAGGAGTCACTGTTTAAAGTAATTTTATAACTTTTCAAGTACTGTTCTTAGAAAGACTCATTTTATAGAAACTGCCTCTGAGCGGGGAAGTTTGGTTTAACGCAGACAACAGCAGTGGAGCACTTCAGCATCATACCTGGATAGAGCAGTGACAGCCCACAGCATCTCCATCATTTACATTTGTAGATTTAAGCATCTCTTCCATCTCTACTGGAACTTCCTGAACAAAGCGTTCTTTGTGATTTACCAGGCCCTTTTGTTGTGTATGTGCTTCCTCGCCGTGCTGCTTGGAAACTTCAGTCCCCTCTCTCTCATATCACACAGCGATTGTCGCAATTCCTAAACGCAGTGTGGTAGCATTCTCTGTTAGTAAGGACTGGGGGAGGCAGCTTCCCTGTGTGAGGGAGATTTAGTCACAGTGTGACCATATGAAACTTAAGACACAGAGAATCTTTGAGATGATATTTTAGGGTAAATGGAGGAAATGTTTTGTGTCAGTATGTAGCAGAATATTCACCACGTCTGAAGGTGTTCAGCCTTAATGTTTAGGAAACTAGTTTGTTTAAAATTGCTTTTAACCCAGCTGAATATGGTCCATTTAAAATCTGAACTATTGCAGACTATATATAATTGTGCATTTTGAGGATAATTGCAGGGATATATATTATATTATATTTAACTTACCAAAATTAAATTACAGAGAGTCAACGACAAAGGAGAAATCTCCGACTGAGAAGCCAGCGACAGTCGGACAGCTGTGTACTGAGTAGCGATGATGAAGATGAAACAAGAGATAATGATGTGTATGTGACAGATAAAGTGTCTCAAGAGTTGGGACCACTGGAAGATGAAACTGCAAGTTCAAAGTATGTATGCCTCATGACCTACAAAACATTGAATTTTGCTTTTCTTATACATACAGGACTAAGTTATATTGCTATATCCTGGCTTATCTTTGAAGTCTTCACTTATCCTAGTTAATTCCCACTTCTCGTGAGTACGACATCACATTTCACATCGTGGCCAAACGATAGCACTTTAGAATAAAAAGCCAGCCCAAGACAGAGGCACATACAACCTTAAAGATGAGTGGGGAGTGTGGCAAGGAAGGAGAATTTGTCACAGACAATAGCTTGTAATGTATTGCATTTACTTCTCATGCAAAGCTCCAGTAGTGATGTTAAATATAGAAATATTATTATTGGTGTCAGTGAGGCTTGCTAGTGTGCAGCCTGGCAAATTCCAGTAAAAACAGTAAAATTCATTCAGTGATTTTCTTATATGCTGTGCCAGTTAACTGCCTTTTTCTCTTGGAGCAGTAACTGCTCTTCCCAAGGTGTGCTTGCAAGGTGATTGTGGAGATAGTACCGTTCTGGCCAGTTTTTGTTCTGTCCCATGTATGTCATGGAGCTCTGATAGGTTTGCAGGTGAGGTGGCAATCTTGCTGTTCGGGTCAGGTGCCTTGCACAGTAAGACCTCGTTCTGTGGAGGAACAGGAAACTGCTGTAGGAGCACTCCATCATGTTAAGAAAGATGCAATGTATTAGACTAATTAAATGAAATCCAAGTGTCCACATGACTAGGGAAGACAAAGAACATGAGGCTTGTGCTATAAACATTTTTTAAGTGTTTGGGGAGAAAAAATAGAGGTTTTAATAAAGCTGGGGTGCTTTGAGCCTATTGGATCGCTGGAAGGCAATGTAAGAGAGGACTTGAGTCTAGAAATTTTGGGTGTCAGATCTTAAACATGCCCCCTAAAGGGTGTTTACTATTCTAAAACATAGCGTGTTTTGCCAGTGGATTTGTAGATTTTTACTTTTTTGTTGTTAGGTATGTAGGTCAATAAATCACATTAATTAATCAATATTAAAAAAAATATTGTTTTGTTCCTTTAATCACAAGCTTCTCTGTTAAAGAATGTGCCTTCCTGCTCTCTTCAGGTCAGGCTGAAACAACTGCAGCATTTAACACTGACAAAAAGGTACTGATGCTGGAGATGGCCACAGAGCCGTCTACAGTGTTACTCTATAGCTTAGGCTGCTCTTGCTTATATAAAGGTTATCATCAGATGTAATTAATTACTAAGTTGGTATTATAGCTGTTGCATAAAGAATTTGAGTAGTAAAAATGGGAGAATTAATGGAGTTAAATTATGTATGTGAAACTAGGGGTAGATGTTAGTAGTCACTGCTTGAATTTAAGGTTACAGGGTAAAGGAGATCTCATGCTTTCTAATCCTGTTTAATTAATAAATAACAAAATGTTGCTCAGCATGGGCAGTGACATAATAAAGCCAAGTGTTTATGGTAAAGACTTATGGAAGCAGCTTACAGTGATCATTTAAAATAGAGATTAATTTGTAAATAAAAGTGGCAGGAAGCTATTTCTGATAGAAAATATTATTCAGCACTTAACGATATGACACATTCCCAATGCAAAATAGCCATGTCTGTTAGTTGGGTGCAGTACAGCCGTCCTGGAGGCTGAGGGAAGGAGGGGTACATCTATAACCACAGCTTGGCAACAGCCACCGGGTCGGTCTGTCCTTCCCAGAACTGGAAATTTATGTTAGAGTATTTCCTCACATTAGTGTGTTCCTCCCCTACATTTGATAAGGAAAGAGTTCTTGGAATTAATGTGTTACTGGACTGGGACGTTACTAAATTAGGATAGGGGATGTTTTAATTTCTGACAACTGCTTTCAATTCTAGAATGAATAGTTTCCAAAAGGACAGCCTGATGCTTTTCTTACAAAACTCTTATTTCTGACCTGTTGAAGATCGCTGGCGCCGTACGTACACTGCACAGTGCTGCAGACTGCTCTGGCTTTTAGAAAGGGAGCAGGGTGACTGACTGCACCTTCCCCCTAATGAAAACCAAGACGCCCTTTCCTTTGGGGAGAGGGAGACCCGAACTACTTAGTAAATTCAACAAACTGAGGGTTGAAGGTACACGGGGATCTTCAGATGAAATGTGTCATGGCTCATCTGTGCAGCCGGATGATGAGATGACATTTTATGTGTCGGCAGCCCTCAATGCACGGTGAAATTAATGGATGCACATTCTTTCTGACTTTGTTCTCTCTCCCACAAGGCCGTCTGGTACCGTTAGCTGTCCCATTTGCATGGATGGCTACTCAGAGGTAAGGATCCACACCTTGTCTCTGTTTCTTTTTACTTGGAGGGAGAACGTGGCAGAGGGTGAGCTGCCCACTCTGTTGGGTTGTGTGGGACCCTAGAGACACCTGGCTTGCAGTACAGACCTTGGATTTAATGTGAAACCAGCTTGAAACTCCAAGTCATTTCTCAGTGGTGTATGTAGAGGGAGAAAGACTTCTCAATGGCACTGAAAACCCTTTGGGTTCCTTATTGTTAAAACAGTCATGTACTGGTTCCAGATACTCCGAGTTCTATTTGCCTGGTGCCAGTAGACCAGCAAAGTGGAATTCTTCACTCCAGGTGATACCTGTTGTGGTTTCTCTGCTTCCAGATTGTACAAAGTGGACGGCTGATTGTGTCGACCAAATGCGGCCACGTCTTCTGCAGTCAGTGCCTCCGTGATTCCCTTAGGAATGCCAACTCATGCCCAACCTGCAGGAAGAAGCTCACTCACAGACAATATCATCCTATTTATATATGAGTATTTCTATTTCTCAGGACAGACTCAACAGGATTTTTTGGGGAAATGTCATGTTTTGAGTGCTCTGAAGATTTAAAGAG